TGGGCCCATATACTCTATCAAGAGTCCCCCACTCTTTGAGATGATATATGATGAAGTGAAAGGGAGTAGAATATTTGTGTTTTGCTGTTCTGGCTTATTTGTTCCCTGACCGATGTGAGGATATGCTCCATGTTTAGTGTGATGTTTCTTTCTTCTTTCTATGGCCGTTACGTGCAATTTGGCTCTTGTGGACGATGAATGACACTTATTTGAGGTCGAAGTGTGTCCTGCTTTTGCCTTTGAATTTGCTTGGTTATTTTGAGGTTTTGCCAACTTTGGTCGATGCATAGTTCCCCAGTCCCCCACTCCTTCAGGCCGAGAGTGTATGTTACACGCCATCCGACGTGATGAACGCAGTTTTTTCAAAATCTTCTGGATGCATGAAACCCTGGTGATACCCTCTGAAGGCACCCATGAAGCTGAGCAGCTCACAACCTGCCGTTTCATCCACTAGCACAACGTTGGATAGCCACTCCACGTGGATGACCGGCTGGATGTGGCGAATGCTAAGGAGCGTCGTGACTTCCACCTTGATGAAGTCCCGTCGTTCGGCCGCCATGTATCTCTTGTTTTGTTGGACGGGCTTGGCATCCGGCTGAACAGCCAACCTATGGCATATGATCTCTGGGTCTATCCCCGGCATGTCCTCCGGTTCTCTGGCGAAAATAATTTTAAACTTCCGGAGGACGAGGATCACTCCCTCTCGAATCCCAGGCTCTAGATCGGCCCCAATGGATACCTTCCTGTCCCAAGGATCATCCAACTCAACCTCCTCAAGCAAGGTGGCCGGCTCCGGCCGACCCTCGAAATATGCCTGCCATGCGGTCTCAGCAATGATGTTGACCCGCATGTCACTGTCATTTACCTTCTTCATAGCCTCATGGTAGCAGGCTTTGTCCGTGTGCGGGTCCGTGCATGCCATTCCCACCTCAGTCTCCGTGGGGAATTTGATGCAAGAGTGTCGCACGGAGCAGATGGCCTCTAGGTCTTTCAGCCCTGGTTGGCCGAGAATAACATTGTGGGCACACTTTAAGCAGACAACTACGAACATCATTTGAATCGCCGCTTTGTGCATCAAATCCCCAACCTCCATCGGGAGGGTGATCGTCCCCTCCGCATCTATGCAATCCCCTGTGAAGCCGGTCAGTGGGATTCGCAGGGGGGTCAACTAATCCCTCCTGAGGTGAAGCCTCTCGAACACCTCCCAGTAGAGGACGTTCACACTGCTTCCGGTATCAACAAGGACCTGCCGTACTATGGCATTCTTTACGTCCATGCTGATGACCAGCTCGTCTCTGTGTGGCACAGGGGCGCTGGGCAAGTCTGCCGGCCCAAAGGTGATGGGCTCAATTCTGCTCCTCTTCATGGGGGGTGCGGATACGGAACCCACATACAGGTCTCGTCCAAACTTCTTCCGCTCTGCCGGGTTGTCCCCGGTTTCGGCTCCCCCGAAGATTACTTTAATCTCCAGCTTCTTCTTCCTGTCGTTCGGTCCGAGGGACCCCTCGGGACGTTTATGAGCATTGAGATAATCCACATCCTTGGGTTCGGCCTCTCGTCGATCATCCTGGCGCCACGTACTTGGCTTCTTGTACTGTGTGGCTGCATTTGGTCCTGGGGCGTTGGCTCTGCGACGAATTCCTCGAGGTATCCCCTCTGGATTAGCTCGTCAATCGCCTTCCTGAGGCTGTTGCAGACGTTCGTGCTATGGCCGCTTTTGCGATGATACTCGTAGTAAGCAGTGAGGTTTTTCCCATCGCCCCTTGGTGTCCCGTAGCCGCTCAAGCATCCCCTTGTCCTTGATGGCCTCGAAAATCTGCGAGGAGGTGTACCCGGAGTCATCAGGCCGTGCGTGACCAACGTGGCCCTGTGCTACCCAGGGGGTATACCCACTATTCGACTACTTCCTTTTCATCGCGGGGGAGTCCCCCAGTCCCGGGACCAGGACATTCGAAATTTTGCGGGTCGGCGCAGCTGGCGCTCCGTCCCTCTAAGCGATATCTTCCTCGACCGTGGCATATTTCTGAGTGTGGACCTCAGCATAGTTCGTCCCCGGGTTCCTCCTCAGGTCCCGGTATAGGTCGCCGGTGGTTAAGGCATTGGTGAAGAGGGTGATGTCAGTGCTCTCATATAGGTCCTCGACCTTCATAGTTTCATCCCTCCATCTGATGAGGAATGCAGATAAGGGATCGGCCTTACCCTGATGGACGCGCGTCAATGGGCTGAAATGTTTCTTGGGGGTTGAGCTAGACATGAACTGCGCCATGAACTGTCTAGACAGATGTTCAAAGCTGTCTATGGTCCCGGGCCTCAACTGCCCGAACCATTCCTGCGCTGGCCCCCGTAGGGTGCCGAAGAAAAGTCTGCAGATGGCATCATCAGACGCTCCGAGCATGGTGAGATTGCCCTGGAAAGTAATCAGATGGGCCTTGGGGTCCCCGGCCCCATTGTACACCAAGGTGCTTAGTGGTCTGCAATCCTGTGGGATCTCTGCAGCGATGATCCTTGGGGAGAATGAGGAGGTGAGCGAAATACGAGGTTGTGTCGGACCATTCTCCGCACGTCTGTTCAGCTCCTCGATCTTTCTTTCCATTGTTTCGATCCTGGCCTCATGTGCGGCCACTTCTGGGGTCACAGGAGAGCCTGCCACAAAGACGTCATCAGCTCTGGCAGCATTGGCGTAGTGCTGCCGACGGATGATGTGGGCACCCTGCCTCTGGAAGCGGTGCCCTACATTTCTTGCTGCGGGGGTCAGCTCCCCACCGTGGTAGCCGTGGGGGACGTGCGGCATGTGAGCACGCGTATCGTAGTGCCTCCCCTGTCGGGAGGCGTCTGCACCATTGTGGGCTTGTGGCCCCTATGTCTTGGGAGGGTGTTGCTCCGCCAATCCGGGTGTGGACGGATGGTCGGCGGCTATCTGACTCTGCTGTTCGCTCCTCAAACGGCTGCATTTGGTGAATCGGTGAGAGGGGCGTGTGCTGGGAGTTTGCCGAGAACACGTGCTCATGAGCCTCATGCTCGTCCACCATGTGGCGCATGGTTTCCGCCAACTCCCTCATAACTCGAGGGTCCTGCCTGGATGTCTGGGGGATGAGGTTTGTGATGTCTCCACCTCCCCTCGTAGACCACAGACTCTCAGAACGTCCGATGGTCTGCCCACGTGACCTCCTCCTGCTGGCCAGCTGGTCAGAGAGGTCATGTGCACGTTGGTTGTTGTTTCTTGCCATCTTGCTTGCTAGAGAAAGTTCTTAAGGAAGCTGTTTGGTGTGCTAGTTTTGGAAACATTTAGTTCAATTTCCCGCAAGACGGCGCCAATGTTAAAGCTTATTCCTTCAATCTGTAGGCCCAACACATAACCTAAGGATTTCGAGTGGAAGAATGTAACAGAATATAGAGTGCAAGCAAGTAAGATAGGCTAAAATGTATCTGTAGTGTTTATTTGTGAAAATTTCTCTAGAAAAAACTTATGCTCCATATTATAACGTAAAAGAATCCTAAGATTTAATCAACTTACATTCACACATCCCACAGTTTAGTCAACTGACATGATCACCACATAAAAACAACTCGGAATGCCAACCGCCAGATGAGATGGGAAGCATAACCAAAGCAGTCTCCATACTCAACAATTTAAATGAGTTATAAACTCTTATCATCCTAACTAACTAAATAAATAAAGTGTCCAATTGAAATGAAATCGAAGAAAAGAAAAATATAAAGGACAAATACAGAAGTACTCGATTTGAGTCTTCTCCATCCAACTGCTTTAGAACCAATGGAACCTCCTACCTAGGGGTGGACTCGAGAGTCGGGTCGGTCCAGTCCTGATTCCGGGCCAAGATTGCCCAATCTAAAAAAATCCCAAGGCACGGGTCTGAACTCTGAACCACTTTTTTCCCGCGTCAGGGTCGGCTTCAGGTACCCGGCCTATCCATTAGCTTTTTGGCCGAATGAAGCTTTAAAAAAATCCAAGCTGGAACCGGAACCTCAGGATTAGGTCCCCAAAACTGGGAACTAGGACCATGAACGGTGAACTGCTCTAGGGCAAACCGGTCTGGTCCCAAGCCTAGAATTGTACAAAAGGAACCCGATACGAGCCAAAACAGTGTCGGACCGCCAGAAAATGTCCACCCCTACTCATGCCTAGCTACAACGCTTTCTACCATGAAACCCACCCCCGTCCCTCCCTAATCCTTGTTTTTATCGGCATTCTTTTTTGTTTTTTGGGTCATTTTTAGTTGAGGCTAGGGGTGTGCACAATTCGGTAAACCGACCGAACCAAACTGATACCAAAATTTCGGTATGTACCAAATATCGAACCAAAAATCCGATTCGGTAATCGGTATGTGTAATTTCAAAAAATCGATATTCGGTTCGGCATATATAAAAAAATGGTTTTTCAGTATGTACCGAATACCAAAATAAATAAAATAATAAATATTAAATATATAATATGTTTATATATTATGGCCCGGAATATATTAATATTGGTATATTTATATATATTTCGGTATGTATTATATATTTATATATAATATATTTAATTATTTATATTTAATACAATACATTTAAATAAAATATATTTAAATATTTATATTTAAATATTTATATTTAAATATTTATATTTAAATATTTATATTTAAATATTTATATTTAAACATTCAATGCCTATTTGGTAATTCAGTGATTACCAAACCGATTCTTTTTTTATTTTTATCGAACCAAACCGATTTAGTTCGGTTCGGTATTCGGTACGGAAATGTGCAAAACCGAAATTTCGGTTCGTATTACCGAATGAACACCTTTTTTGGCGGCCTAAATGCCACCCTTTTTTGGGTCATTTATTTGAGGCAACATCAACTCCCAAAAACTTAATTCAAGGTTTTAGACTTTCAGTATTTTGTCATGAGACAAATTAACTGTTATATGTCACGGATGAATTACAAGTTTTCTAAAATAAGACGTTTTTAGTTGCAAGAATCTACAAACAAAAAAAGATGGTTTAAACTTTAAAGCTTGTTTTGGAGATGGGCTACAAAAGTACAAGAGCATTATGTTCGGTGTTAAAACTCACTCCCAAAAGTACAAGCACATGACCGGTGTGGGATCATTACATTCGGAGTGATTCAAGCAAGAAAAATTATCTGTGTAATGCAGCTAATTTTTCCATGGTACAAAATAGCTCGTGAATCGCATCTTTATCAAGAAGATAAATAGCAGAATCCAAGTTCTGTACTTCTGTTCTGCCATATCCACATAGAATGGAATTACCGTGCCGGTGATGCTGCCTTTCTTGCCGAATGAAGCATAAACTATACTGCCTTAACTTTTTTTACTTGGCTCAAGGAATAAAATGGTCGCTTTGTAAGAAAGAAAAAATGGTTTCAATAAACTTATCGGACAGCACAGTACTTGTGTTGACATTGCTGGGACAAGCAACAACTCAAAGCAACTAAACACAACATTAGACCATAGAAATGGTGTACTCATACATATAGGCAGTGCGAATGTACATTGACCATTCCTTGATTCATATGACATACATATCCACATTGACCTTCAGTAATACAACCAGTGTGTCGAAGGATCTGCGGATAAAAAAAATAGCAAATTAGCAATGGTTGATACGTTAGTTTGTCATTTCACAGACCAATGTTAACCGAATAAGTAGTGAATAACCATAGCTGGAGTAAGAATGGTTGATCCGTTATCTTTAAGCCAAATTTGCCTCTGTACTATTGTCTACCAAAACATATTTTTGTCTAATTACATTTCCAACTAAAATGAAGTGCATGTGCAAAACAGAACGGAGATAGCAATGAGAAGGGCCTCTCATTTTGAAAGTTGCAACTTTCTGGAAGGAAGCATTAAATAAAACACACTGATTCTGTTTTTTTATTTCATGCAGACAGTCCCAGAGGAAGGAAAGTTTTCATAGACCAAATACATATGATGATATGAGAATGGTGTGAGCCGCACCCGAACTGCGTCTGAGACTCCGAGCCTTATCTCAACTGTGTTCAAGTCAAATCCGAGCCATTTCAAAGTGTCCAAGCCACATCTGAGCCTCCAAGTCGTGTCTGAACCACATTGGAGCAGTAACCAAATTGCAATTAAGCCATTGAGCCATGTCTGAGAGTCCAAGATGCTTATCCTTTGGAATATCTGAGAGCATCATAGTCGCGTTGGAACCATATCTAAACCACATTCAAGCCACACTTGAACTGTGTCAAAGCATCTGAGCCACATTGGAGCGGTCAGAGACAAACCCGAATCGCAGTGTGTCATATCCGAGCGACGTACATTGGATTTTGTTCGAATAAAAAGGAAGTACTTTCAGGCCAAATAACTAATCTTCGTCCAATGGTTAGAAGAAATTAAGGATTAAAATAATCGAGGGTTGTCTTTGTTGTAAGGTTGTTGGGTTCAAAAGAAGGGATGGTAGGAGAGGAGATGTAGAAAATGGGTGGAAAGGAAAATAGATGAATTAAGAAAAAGAAATGTTCAGTTATATGGTAACTAGTGAGACAATCAGACAATAACAGCAACATCCAAGCCTTAATCCAAAAAGTGTATGAGGTCAACCAACATGAATCGACATATGAAATCGGATCTAAAAAAGGATAATGAAGCTAAAAGGATGAGAAAAGATAAAAAAAAAAAGATAAAATAAAGATAATATAACGATAAAAAGATAAGATAAAACAATAAGGAAGATATAAAAACAAAACTTTAATAAAATAAAATTATACAAGTGAGAAAATTATAGTCCGTACTTTTATAAAAGAACATACGTAGTATAACATCACTCTTTATTTGGTAAAATCTTTGTGGCAATCTATAACATTATATATATATATGTAGAGCAAGAGTGATTTTCATTAGTGTTTTCCTATTTTTCTAGCATTTTCAGAGATCTAAACACTCTGAGGATCCATTTGGAACTGACATCACCACCCAGTCATCCATCCATTACTAGGCCAGGCAAACGAGGTTCAGTTCAGATATTAATATTTACTGAGGGTAAAAAGGAAATTAAGAAAAAGGGTCAATCCTCAAAAGTAATCAAAGTGGAGAGTGGAATATTAGGATACCAGATGAGTCATAGCTCCTCCAAATTATTCCCCTCCATAATCTGGAATCGAACAAAGGCTAAATTTGTGCCAAAAGATAGAACTTACAGTCAAGAAAGAAGTGTTTCCCCTTAAAATGCTTCTGTTGCAGCAATATCTCTTACTTTCTGCAAGAATATGAGGGGTTTTGGTTTTAAGGCTCAAATCAAATATGATCAAAGCTCTATTAATTGTAACATGTATGACTGAAATCTGTCAACTTTGCTAGCAAAATATTGGGTTCAGTAACTTCAGTTACCATTGCTCTCTCCATGATATTCTTAACCAACTGCATAGTGACAAATTCAATAGTCAAAACCCATTTTCATTTCATCAGATCATGCCTTAAGATTGATCGAAAGCATCAAGAGTCCATTTTGATCTAGGAAATCATTAGGGAAAAGAATATACGGAGTGAAATCGGAGGGATATAAATTTTGGGGAAAATAAAAGATACGCTTGAACTATATACTTGTATTTTAGATATTACTTCAACTGTTTTTTTACTATATAAATGCTAAGAAATCTAAATAATTGTACTAATGTAAATTTATAATAAATAAAAACAAATCATTGTTTTTATTCCCTGAATGGGTGCCTTAGAGCCCTTTATATTTATCCCAAACTTGAGAAAATAATTTCCTTACCATTTGATTTCCTTTCTCTAGCATCTTTCAATATCATGGTGGGGGTGCTAAAGATATTTTTTATACTCATTTTTAGCAATTTAAACAATCTTTTTTCACAGCATGAGTATGGGATCATATTCTCATTTCATCATTTTCATTTTCACTTACCCCAGTGCCGCAAAGGCTCCCACTTACGGTGGAGTAAGGGGGGTCGGATGTACGCAGTCTTACCCCTGTACTAAAGTACAGAGAGACTGTTTCCGGATGACCCATAGTGAAAATCGCGTCCAAAATTGCATGGACTGACTGCTGCTTCATAACAAAGAAGCGCAGACAGTTTAGTGAGCCATTTTGTTTAGAATATGGGATCATATTCTAAGATGAAAAAAGAATTCCCGCTGCATAATTTCAGCCTACAATTCAACAAGTGTTTCAAGGAAAATCGGCTGTGTATTCATAGCGCATCCTAAAGATCAGTTGAGGTTGATCTGCAGTGATAACAACACAGAACATACTGTCTTACAGTGAACAATTTCTTTTGTTTTCCCAAATAGCTGGGTTTCATTTCAAGGCCAACTGGTGAACTGGTATGCTTTGAAGAGAATTTCAATTCCTGAAGGGATCTGAGACATGAAAAGGAGGACATTCAACACATTTAACGCAATGTGAAGATTTCTAGCACTTTCGCTTCCCTTCTGCATTGCAGGTACAAGAGCAGCAGATACAGCCCACAAGACAGTAATTGCTGCCCCTGCAAACAAGTGAGGCCCTGGGAACAGCTTCCCCGTCCGAACCCAAGTGTTAAATCCTCCTGAAATGGCCTCAAAGACCCCAAACCCTAACAATACAGAACCAGCATTGAAATGCCTATCCCTGAATGAACCCTTCACCAATGCCTTTCTCTCCTCAGTAAGTTGCTGAATCTTGACTTCAACAGGAGATGCCTGAGAGAGATCAGTAGGAGTGGTGTCGTCTATAACTGGCACCCTGGCTTGCTTCTTCAGCTCACTGATCTCATCCTGGAGTGTGCGCACGCGCCGCCACTGCCAACCAAGGAATCCGGCGTACAGGGTGTAAACAAACAGCCCACTCATAACAATAGGGTGAATCATGGCAAAGCTACGCCCTTCAAGAATCCCAAATTCCCCACCAACCGCAATAGCATCCTGAGCATCGAAAAGGAAAGTCAGCGAAATGCAACTAAGAGGGAGAGGGGCGAATTTGAGCGGTGAATTAATGGTTTGTTTAAGAGGGTTTTGGGAGATCTGGGGAGGATTTGGTCTGATGGGTATTGAGGAAAACGACTTTGGGATGATGGGTTGTTTCTGCTTTGATGAGGAAAGGACTGGGAGTTGGAGGAGGCTGAACGTGGTTGCCATGGCTGGCTGTCTTCTTCTTCAGCCTGCAAGCTACTAGAGGGAGACTCGTTTTAGCAATTTGAACTATGGGATAAGGGCCAAAAGTGACACTGACGTTTTTAATGAACACAATTTAAACCTTTTACCCTCATTTTTAACCACCCACTATCTTCCCCATTCAAACTACCGTTACCCCGCCGTTTACAAAGCCCCTTCCCTGCCTTATTCAATAAAGTCGGTTTTCCAAAGGTAGTGAGTGGCAAGATCTGCACGTCAAAATGAAGTCCATGTCTGCATCCTAGTTGTTCTACTCCCATTACCATCCAGAATTCCAGATACTCTTCTCTATCATTAAACCGCCATTATCATCCATCCATGATAATGACTCCCTCTTCGTTTCTTCATCTTCTCTGCATTATCATTTCCTTCCCCCCTTCACTCCCAAGCTTACAGTCCACCTGACCGTTACTTCATCAATTGCGGCTCACGCTCACCGGTCCCAGACACCCAGAGGACATTCGCCGGCGACGACTTCTTCACCGGCGACAGCACTCAAGTCGAAGATCCGAGTTTCCCTCCTTCCCGATTTTCTTTATACAAAACTGTGAGAGTTTTCAGGGGCAGGAGTTCTCGGTATGAATTCGAGGCAGATCAGAGCGGTCCTTACATGATATGGTACGCCTCCATTTCTACCCATTTTCTTCCTCCCTGAATCTCTCGGAGGCTGAATTTCATCTTTCCGCTTCTGGGTTTTCGCTCTTGTCGGGAAGGGAAGGGGCTTCATAACCAGGGTAACGGTAGTTTGAAAGGGAAAGTTAGTTGGTGGTTAGAAATGATGGTAAAAGGTTTAAATTGTGTTTATTTGGTCCACCGAAAACCTGAATGTCATATTCGAGCTTCATTAAATACCTTAGTGTCACTCTTGACCCTTCTCCCTTTGAACTATTAGACAAAGAGAAAAGGGTCAGTTTGGTACATCAACTTGGGAGCGGGAGAGTAAAGAGTATCTGATGATGCAATCGAGGCTGAGAGATACATAAACTCTGCTAATCAGTGCTAATTTAGTCCTACCAGACATTATGTGGGATAAAATGCTGAGTTGGCAATTATTAATGGAAAACACTTCATTAGTCGTCGGTCTTCTCGCTCATCTCTCGCACGCTCGCAGCTCTAGGGGCAGAGGAGCGACAGAGCCTTCTCCTTCGCACGGCCATGGCGGCATGGCGTCTTCTCTCCGTCGGTCCTCCTCTTTGAGCTCGCCTTGCCTCTCTGCTTTCTCATCTTTCTTCTCCGTTGCAGAGATGTAATCGGTCAAATCTTCCCTTGCTAGATCTGCAATCCACCACCAACTCCCAAATCTCCCATCAGTACACTGACCAACCTTCACCTGGCGGGCGGCAAATTTCAGAAACAGGATCCGGAGAGGAAAGATGGGAGCGGCTGGCTAGATTTCCGATGATGAGAGAAGCTTTCTCGAGCCACCGTTGATACTCCTTGGCATATCCAAAGGCTTCGGTGTGATGCTCCAGAGTGAGGACGACCTGCATCCGAGGCTGGAGTGCTCGTTCGGAACTTATTCCTAGAGTAGTAGAGTCCCTCTTGAGAACGTACTGTTCATCGTAAGTAGCCGGCGGCCTTTTGCGGCTTCTGGAAACTGCCGAGCACAAGAGCCAGGAGAGAAGAACGTTAAAGTTGTTTGATTATATCTTTAGTTTTGCCACATCAATAAACATTTGGCCATGTCAGCATTAATTATGCTTAAATACAACCTAGTACTGAATTAACACTCATTTGGCCATTTTATGTACTTCTCAGCCTCTATTGCATCATCAGATACTCTTTACTCCCCCGCTCCCAAGTTGATGTACCAAACTGACACTTTTCTCATTAGACAAAGATCATCATTCATTTTCATTTTCATTTTCATTTTGCATTAATAAACATACGAAAACGACATTCCTTGCATTTCCCCTTTTCCATAGCATTTTTCAGGATCCAGAAATATTCATTATCCTAAGAGGAAGGGCGGGCACCTACCTTCTTTCTAGGTGCTCTGATGAGCTGGGAATTGTTTCACCATACATTGTGCAATGTCATCAATAGGTGCATTACCAAGTATGAGTAAAGGGTTAGTTTGGTCCTTATATAGAAGATTCTGTCTGGACGTGCCATTTGAGGTGGCTCCCGGTACAATTTTTTGATGAAATTTTTTGAGCATCTTATTCATTAAGTCTAGTTTACTCATACCAAATTTCAGCTAAAAATTCAATCGGAGAGACATTCAAATGAATTCTTGAAGATAACTGCGCTTTTAACGACACAGTTATCTTCAAGAATTCATTTGAATGTCTTCCCGATTGGATTTTTATCTGAAATTTGGTATGAGTAAACTAGACTTAATGAATAAGATGCTCAAAAAATTTAATCAAAAAATTCCACCGGGAACCCCCTCAAATGGCACGTCTGGACAGAATTTTCTATATAAGGACTTATTTGACCCCCTTTTTGCAACTTCGAGGACCAAACTGACCCTTATCTCGATCAAGTATCATCCCATCAATAAATCTAATACTCTTTCGTTTTTATCACCTTAAAAATCTTTTTAAAAAATTTAATTCTTACTTTTATTATTATACCTCACTGCTTGCCAATTTATTTATGAATAATGTGATTTAAAAAGATAAACATTCTGATGTGAAAATAAATAAATTTAGAGTTTAATTTGTATGTTGTTACTCCAGACCCATTTAAAAATATGAAAGATGTAGAAAATAAAGCATGAGATCTTAATTTTTTAAAAGTAGATGAAACTTCATTTTTTTTAATATAGAAAAATGTTATAATATAGAAAATGGGATTTTTATTTCTCTTGAGTCTCGCGTCTCCGTCACTTGTTGGCACATTTATAGTGTATGGAGTATATTATACAATCATTTGTCGAGTGAGAACCGTACAATCAAATATTTTTGTGGTTTTCATCGAACCTTTTACTCCATAAAAGAAATTTCTTTTGTACCTATCATTTTTAATTTATACTAAACTTGACTTTCATAAACTCTAAAAAAATTAAATTGGATGAAAACTTGATTAAAAACACCTCTTACTAGCTCTTTCTTCCGTATAATTGTAGTTTTTTTAAAATTTGATGCCTTTCAACTATTTGAAGCAAGTTGAGACTCTCCGTAGCAGTTTCCCTTGTGTTTGGAGCAAGGCTTGTAACCGCGATGGTGCAGCCAATGGCAGCCGCTTCACTTGTGGTATCACGGCCTTCGATCCTTTGGTCCTGGAGGAAGAAGATGAAGTGTTAATGATTCAGCCTCCTCCGGAGCCGCCGTCATGGAGTGAACGAGTGACTAGGGTTTGCTTTAGCTTTATTTAAAGTTTTATTTTTATTTTGATAGACTATTTACCTTATTTTTAGATTGTTTGTGTTAGTAGCAGTCTTGAGTGATCTAGTTTAGCTATGATCAAAAGTATTGAGATCTCTACAACCGTTAATTGCTTTCAAGTTCCCGTATATTTAGCGAAAAGTTTGCTCAATTTTAAGTGAACTTTTCTATGTCTGATCAGGGACTAAGTGGACCTTTTGGCTATTATGATTCTAGTGAAGTGGTAAAGAGTACGATGACCTTAAAAGTTAGAAAGAACTCTATTGTATGTTTGGTGATTAGCGATTCACCCTGCTTTTTTGGAGGTGGTCACAGAGTATGATTGTAGGACGTTTCTTGAATTTAGATGGGGTTTGTTAGAAGATAAGTGGTGGATTTTGAGCTATTGACAGGTTGTAACTCTTGATTCGTTTGGTATTTTAATATAAATTTATTTTCCATCCAAAAACTCTTATTTTGGCCAATGGGGCATTTTTTGTATTAATAGGTGAGTTAAAGGAGATAAGACCAATTAGTTACAAGAATTACAACCATACCTCTACTTTAGGAATAATCTCGAATCCATGAGAAAATGGACGCAACGTCCCAAAGGGTCTTAACTACTTTTCCTATAAATAGAAGTTAACCAGATTGTAAAGGAAGTCATTCTCACTTCGCAAAATATTGAATTTACTCACTATTGATATCAAAAACATTAAAAATTCTCGATATCTATATTGTTCTTGTACATGTGACTCCAATCATTATTCATATTTCTTTTAATCAATTCTAGCTTGCGTAAAATTGGTTAAATAATTTGGTTCCCACCATGGGGCACATGCAAGAAAGAGTTATCCTCAAGGTTCAATGTGATGGCGACAGAATTCCATAAGCAATTATAAGATATGAAGGAAAAATAAATCAAGAAATGGCTAAACGGATTTTGTTCATTCAAAAAGAGAATGATCTCCTTAGACAAGAACTTCATTATGGTGCATCTATAGCTTTTAGCTCCATGTTCTTTTGGAGAGGAGACACAATAGCTGCTCCAACAAGGCTCGATCTTAGTCATGTCATTGTCACGATGGATCCTATATCGATTGTCATTACCGGTGTCATCTCATTGAGCCCGGTGATACCTTTTGGACTTAAAAATGCAAGTGGCACCTTTCAACTATTGGTGACCATAATGTTCAAATATTAAATGGGGAAAACCATGGAAGTATACAACGACGATATGTTGGTGAAGTCGGAATTGGCTGCTGATCACATCAGATACTTGACGACTTCCTTCCACGCCTTAAGAAAATTCACCATGAAGGTGAATCCGTCGAAATGTACCCTTAGGGCTTCTTTGGGCGATTGGGTAATTAGGGGCATTTTTGGAAATGAAGCAACCGGTGAGTTTTTCTCTAATTGACAAGGAACATACAAGATCATTGAAGTCGTCGGATGGGGGGACATATCGCTTGGAACCTCAAGACAGAAGACAGGTTCTGAGAAGCTAGAATGTGGTGCAGTTTCATTTTTAATTCACCACTTTCCTTAACATATAAACGGTCACTAACTAAAGCGTCGAAGGGCCGGTGGCTTCTAGCCAATGGCCAACCTTAGCAAATTCTTTTTGTATAGAAACAAGCAAACACTAGACGATGATGATGTCCTGACACACGTCTAACAAAGCCTTTCATAAACATTAAAACACAGATGATGGGGGCTTACATAATTATAAAGGAAAAAGTGGAATTTTCATGTCTTCTAAACATGAGTACAAACACCATCAATTTTCTACAACGTTTTGACCAAAGCTATATAGAAAAGTACATCACAAAGAGATGTGCTTTGAAAGCGTAACACAAAACAACATGAAATTCAAAAATAGGAGGAGGCAGCACAAATGTTTAGGTTGAAAATATAACTATAATGTAAATAAAATAATATTCAAATTTTCTCAAGGACTGGTCACACTCATGGAGTCGGTCTCGTCATTCGACCAATGAGGGAAGCAGTCACCCTCGCCATCTAGAGGTTCGGGACTAACATAGACGAAACTCCAATTTACTATGCATTAGCTTCTTCCGGTGTACAATAATTAGCCTAACTATGGACCTCCTCAGAATCCTCTTTCTTGTTCAAACATCTACAAGGAGACACACCTAGTCAGCAGCTATTACGAATGAAGGTGACAAAAACATTCTAATGAAAGGACAATGGATGGACAAGCGCAAAAATGAAAGACTTGATTATGTGCACCCATTCGACTCCATTAAATCTTTGAACAATTAAATTCTATATTTATGGAAATTAATTATGAGAGGTAATTTTACATTTGTAGAACTTAACTCTTATTATAGCCGTTGGGATGTTTATTTGTATGATAAGTGAGTTAATGTAATTAAAGAAGATAAGATAAGTTAAATACCACCAAACGGTCCAAACCCTAGTCTTTAGAAATAATCTTGAATCCGTCGGACACTGAATGAAACATCCGGGAGGGTCTTACCTACTTCTCCTATAAATAGGAGTTAATCCCATTGTAAAGGAAACGTTTCTCACTCTGTAAAATATTGAATTTACTCACAATTGATATCAAAATATTCACACTTCTCAACACTTGTATTGTTCTTCTACTTGATCCCAATCATTATTCACATTTCTTTTAATCAGTTTTAGCTGACGTAAAATTGCTTAAACATGTATACTTTTCACTCATTGCATCAATGCATTGCATATGCCCATAAGGCCATTAAGTATTATATATATAATATATACACCCATAGATATATTATATGGTCAATCTCTTGTGATCTCACCACGCTAAAATACACTACTTTATCAGTTTATCTCACAAGTAAAATTTTCACTTTTCTCTAAAATTATGATTTTACAAACGAGCTGGTCGCCGACTCACTCTTCCTTACGGGAGGTCTCTGGTTCGAAACTCAATGGAGTGAGTTTCAGCCTAGATTACTCCGGGCTCCCCCAGCCCCCCTTCCCCAGACGCCCCCTAGAGCAAAAAAAAAACTAAAAAAAAAAATCCATCAAAGTCATTCCTAAGATATGTAAATTTATAACCATAGATGTAGTGAGATATATTTTAAAGACGTGAATGATTAATCTCACACAGTTTTAACTCAACTAATAATTTCTAAAACAATGTAAAGTACCTACAATGAAATGCTCAAAATCAATATATATATAAAAAAGAGGAACTTTTTAAGAGCATACAAAGCGCCACATAATCCTGCCATGTCATTATATATATTAATTATTTAGTTAATTTGTACCTTCTATTTTTTATTAGCTAGATTCTATTTTTGATTGCATATTGATATGAAAACAAAAATCCGTAGAAAGTACTATTTTAAACAGGCTCTATTTTAGGCTAAGTTTATAATCCGACAGGTATTCTTAGCCAAAAATACAATACGTTTTAATTTCTATAACAATTAAATATTATAGTATACGTTTAGGCTTAGAATTATGTGTTAGAATTATACGTTTTAATTCCATTATAATAATTAAATGTTATCGTATACGTTTTTACGTTTAGGCTTACAATTTAAAAAAACAGGCTCTATATTTAGACTATTTTACTTAATATATACTCCGTATTAAATTTCTATGAATATCCATCTTCATAAGATTATATTAAACGTTTAAAATCAGGTTCATAGCAATTATATTTACTCGAGATGCTTATGTAGAAGATCAATTTAACTATTTTTCATATAATCTTTTTCTGGCTTCACAAATGGAATATATTTTACATATTTTTTCATGATTCCACTCATTTAGCTCATTCAGACATAATTTAATCAATTTGAGTAAAATAAGCTAATTAAATTTATTTTAGTATTATCAAACAGGCTCTATATTAGACTAAGTTTATTTTTCTTTTAAATCACATTACATATAATCCGAAAGAAATCAAATTTCAAATTAGCTAAATTACATCTGCTCGTGCATCGCACGAGCTTGAAAGTTAGTAGGGTAATGTAAGTAAAAAGTAACGCTGATTTTTTATGAATGAAGGGTGCTCTAGTGTTAGAGACACAGCCCCTCTGTCGGTAGCCGGTCCTGAAAAGATTGCAAAATTGATTTTTTTTGTTAATGGTGGTCAAGTTTAATCAATGCTATTTTTAATACTACCTCCGTCCCCGAAACAAGTTCCCGGGTTGACGTTCACACATTTTTAGGAAATAAATTTACTGATGGGTAAATTTTACTGTTTCGACACTGTTTTGCACTGTTTTGCACTGTTTTGATGTAGATAATTTGTCAAATAAGGAAATGAGAAGTTTATTTTGGGACATCCAAATAAGGAAAGTGGGAACTTGTTTCCGGAACGGAGGGAGTACAAAATTATTTATAAAAATATACTCTCTCTGTCCCGAATTATAAGATACTTTTCGGTTTACAATGTTTGACCAACGATAAAGTAAACAGATCACTGTCTGCACTCAAATTATTTTTAGAAAAAAAAAATTACATATTCAGATATTGCATTAAAACCGCTACAAAACCTGCAAAAAATAATTCAAATTTCATAAAATTTTGATATATAAGGCAAGAGATTAAAAGTGATTTGTGTTGACCAAGTGAATAGTAAAGATATCTTATAAGATGGGACAGAGGGAGTAACATTTATAAATTACACACAAATATAATACGGAGTACATAAAAATCATTGTCAAAACTTTAACACTATTGACCAAGAAAAGTCAAATTAGTCAATCTATTTGGGACAAAGGTAGTACTAAAATATCCAAGTTTGACCAACTTTGACTTCCATGTGAAATAATAAAATAAATACTGTGATGTTAAAATTAGTACAGAGGAGAGAGCAAAAATATATAAATTGCAAAGTTGTTACTTTAAAAAAAATAGCAATACTTTTTGGGACAGCTAAATGAGGAATGTTGGCAAGGCTTTGTGGGATATAGGGAGTAGTATATTAGGAATTAGGATGATAAGATTTCACAAGGGTCTAATAAAAGTTAGGAAAATTTGAAAATAATAATCCCAACTATCGCCGGTCCGCCGACAATAATCCCAACTATTGATTATTTTTGTATAATCCCAACTATATAGACCATCTGCCAATAATGGTCCATGATCAGATATTACCTCATATAATAAGTGAATTTTAATAGAAATTATGCGTAAAAATTAAAAGTTGAGATTATTTATAGGGATTACCTGCTATATCTCTTCTCATCCACTTTAGAAAATACAAGAATTTATTTATAGGGACTGTTATTGGCGGAAGGTCCCTAAAGTTGGGATTATTATGAAATAATCGATAGTTGAGATTATTATAAGCGGACCGCCAATAGTTGGGATTATTACTATCAATTTTTCCTAAAAGTTACTCCGTATATTGTTTCGAAAAAGGTTTGAAAATTGATGTACTTTACACCTATCCTCTTATGAAAATTGATCTTTAAATCTTTTAAGAAAATATTAGGTTGGACAGCCAGAAAATGATTTATCTCCTGTTTTTTTTTGCAAACAATTTATCTCCTGTTATTATCTTCACTTTGAATCCACAATTTAGCTCTAACAGCTACTTGGACATTTTTTTTGGCCACAATAACTTTAATTAGCATTAATCAAATCAAACGACAAAGCATCAACAATACAACTCGGAGGAGTAAGCAACCAAATCTGGCTTTCAGACAAAGAACAAGCCGCTTTACCTAATGTATGCGCGACTTTGTTTGCTGCTACTTGGACATTTACTCGTATGAAATTGATTTTTATGATAAAAGTCTAAGTATTACCGCAATAAAACCCTGAGTCTTAATTCACTTCTCTGCTGATGTGCAGAACCGTCTGCTAAAACAATCGGACTCCCCAAAAGTACCATGCATTTAAAATTTTCTTCAAAATATTTGTCACACAATTAGTTAATAGTACACAGAAAAATTATTTTGTTTAATCGTGTTTTTATCAGTTGTAGTCTTGTAGACTTGTAGAGTTGTAGCCATTAAAATGCTAAACACAGATGCTTGGTTAACCCCCCCCCCCCCCCCCCTCCAAAAAAAGGAAAAGAAAACTACATTTTTCTCTAATTTACCAAACATCTGCCATCTCAAGTCATATTTCTATGGTGACTTGAGAAAAGGGCAGTAATGTGTTGACTATAGGCAATCCCCAATTTACCCTCGCACAGCTCATGCCGTAGAAGAGGCAATGGCAATCTTTGACTTAGTAGGCTTGAGCTTGGGTAGGATTTCAGAGACCACCCTTTGCAGGGGAACTATGTTAAGCTGTTGGCTGTTTATGAGCAACCCTGAGAGCAAGTTGACCTCCAGAGTTCCTGAAATATCAGCAAGTAACTCCTCCCAAAGTTTGAAATCCTCATTAATGTTTGATCTTTTCATGAGTTCTTTCACTTGCTCTAGGGTAGCTACATTTCTGCCTGCACCACAACCCATAGCAGTTGCACCCCCAACAGCATTTGCAAGGGTTAGAGTATGAACCAAAGGCGCATTTTGTATATAACCAAATGCAATGGCAGCCACAAAGCTGTCTCCACACCCGACAGTGTCTATAACATTCACCTGTTCATAGAAGAGGACAGTTATGTTTTTTTAAGTATAGAAGTATAATAAACGAGATTAATCATCATCATTTTCGTTTACCCTAGTGCCGCAAAGGCTCCCATCTACGGTGGGGTAAGGGGGGTCGGATGTACGCAGTCTTACCCCTGTACTAAAGCACAGAGAGACTGTTTCCGGATGACCCATAGTGAAAATCGTGTCCAAAATTGCATGGACTGACTGCTGCTTCATAACAAAGAAGCGTAGACAGTTTAGTGAGCCATTTTGATTTATTCCATCATATTCTCAAGCCAAAAAATAATGAATTTTTGGCTCCATCGCAAATGATGGAAAGAATAAACGGGATTAATACTTCATAGAAATTTTGTAATGCAATTTGCCATCTTTTAAAAAAAGGTGGGTCTATATCAAACACATAGGAAGTTTATTGTTTCCTATATAGCTTATGTGGGCACTCTTCAATACCCCTCCCATATACACAAACTCTGTCTGGACTACATTCTTTTGTACAACTTCACCCATCCCTCAAGGCCAGAGGTGCCTAGAAGCTGCAATTTTTTTCTTACGGGCATGCACACTTCTTTCCATCATTTGCAATGGAGCCAAAGATTCATTATTTTTTGGTTTGAGAATATGATGGAATGAAGCAAAATGGCTCACTAAACTGTCTGCGCTTCTTTGTTATGAAGCAGCCGTTAGTTCATGCAATTTTGGACGTGATTTTCACTATGGGTCATTCGGAAACAGTCTCTCTGTGCTTTAGTACAGGGGTAAGACTGCGTACATCCGACCCCCCTTACCCCACCGTATGTGGGAGCCTTTGCGGCACTGGGGTAAATGAAAATGAAATGATGAAAAATGGGCATGCACACTTCACAATTTCATGGCTGAAAAACATTCATCTTTCTCGTCCAAATTTTTCATGCCATATTAACCAAAAAGCAATATACAACTTAGACATGCAGAGGTTTACAGAAGAGATTCAAGGAAATAAAGCTGATAAGTAGTCAACCCTAAGTCTGCTATGTATGATGCTAAATTGCCAAGTCAATAGAAATAGAAGAAACCTCAAGGCACAAATTGATACCTTGAAAGCAGGGGCGCAAGTTATACTTGACCTGGTGATTAAAACCGAACCAGTTGCACCCATCTTCACAACCACCCACTTTGTACGAGTTCCTTTCTTCAGCAACTCTTGCCCCGCCTTTATTGGGTTTTCAATGCCGGTCAATGATTCCACCTGGTTCGCACCAGAAACAAATGAAAAATATATAAAAAAAGAAGATGCTTTTAGCTACTTCTATTTAAAAACAATTTAGGAAGAATTGCAGCAATCTTAATCGAGCTTGTGATAACAGAAATATGACTAGTTTTCTTTTTGAATGACAACATAATCTCAAAACTCTAAAGGTATTCAGATTTTTTCTCCCCTCATCCCCTGTGCAACTTCCCGGCCTCACTACCAAGCTGCCACCGTAAAAAATCCAGAAGATATCCAAAAAGTCACCGGAAAAGTTACCAGAGTCACCATAATTTGCTTCCGCCGGTTAGTGGCATGTGGTTGGTGTCACTGATGGTGGTCACTTGTTAGTGGCAGTGACATATTAAAACCACTAGCAGACAAATTAAAAGTGACGTGTAGAGTCACTGTTTTAGAATTTTTGAGTATTCATATTCTTGTTTAACTTCTCCTTAAGTCATATCTAAGCCAAAAACCCCAACAGCTTATGTTTGGTGATTTGTTTGGTCGTTCTTTAATCTATCCTTAAATATCGAAAGCATTTACCAACATTAGATTACACTTTGTTAAGTAAAAAAGACAAATAGAGTAGAAAGCACAAAGAAGAAAGAGTGTTTTTTTTAACGATGAAGAAAGAGTGTTAGTGGAAAGAGAATGTGATTAAAAGGTGGAATTTTTATAAAGACAAATAGAATTGCGAAGGGAAATGAGAGAAATAAGATTAGTACTACGTAAAATTTTCACTATTTTCTCATCTTAGTGGAGAAAAGAAAAATGTACCATGAACCCCACTCTTTCTTCTTTCTCCCCTATTTCTCTCCTATCCAAAGAAAAAAAAACTCCTCTTCCTCTCCTCTCTATTTCTCTTTTCTCTATTTTCCTTCAAACAAACAAACAAACCATGATACAAGAGAATTTTGGATGAAGTAGAAAGACGAAAGAACACAATGGGATTATCTCACTATAAATCTATCTTAAAGAAATTTGAGGAATCAACCTCCTCCGAAGTGAAGAGAAGCACATCACTCATCTTTAAGAATTTTTTTAATGCTCTCTGTTCTTCCGGTCTGCCTGAGACAAGGGTCACCCTTGGACCAGGGTCAAAAAAGATGGATGTTTCCGCTTCAACAGCACAATCCAAAGCAGATTCGAGCAGTCTGGGAGAGAATTCATCAAAGTCATAACCATTGCAGAACATGATTTTTGATTGTTTTATAGCATTCTTTACTTCAGCAGGCAACTCAATCATCCAACTGTATACAGGATCCTTGGTGAAATCCGTTCGACTGAAAAAGAGTAATTCTCACCCTTGTAACAACATCTAAGAAGCAAAAGAATGAAGAAAGATAAGCCTTCCATCTTTTATAGTAGAGTGTAGGTGCCTTGCCCCCACAAGGAGTCAATTAGTGTCATTAGGAAAACCATAAAATGGGGGAATCTGCTGATCTATAAAAAAATAACTGAAATGTGTTCCTTGAATAAACTAAACAATTACAAGATCTAAAAGTGAATCTATAGAGTTCATTTCCTTAAATAGTACTACGTAACAATTACGTGTGAAGTGATGAACTACTTTTTATTATCAGTTGATTCCGTCAGTGCAATGGAATAAGTAAGAGTGTGATTGGCATAGCCAATTAGCCACACAAAATTAGATTACTACAATTATTGGTTACATGCATAACCAACTAATAATAATCAGCTTTTGTGTGGGTAAAGTTTGCAATATTTTGAAAACACTACTTCAATCGCTCAATCAAGTTCCCACATTGACTTTTACGATCATCAATATGAATCTCTGACCATTATTATTTATTTTATGCTTTTCAAATTTATAATAAAAGTATAGTTTGAATAATATCATCATCATAATCATTATCCCAGTGCCGCAAAGGCTCCCACCTATGGTGGGGTAAGGGGGGTCAGATGTAAGCAGTCATACCCCTGCACTAAAGCAGGAAGAGACTGTTTCCGAATGACCCATAATGAAAATCGCGAAAATTGCAGACTAGCTGTTGCTTATAAGCCACCGGTCAAGCCCATACTTGACCGGTGTGGGATCGTTACAAAAGTTTAGTGAACCATTTTGCTTTATTCGATCATATTCTCAAGCCAAAAAATAGTGAGTCTTTGGCTCCATAGCAAATGATGGAAATATAGTTTGAATAATACACATTTAAAAATTGTTCAAGATTATTTTAATGTTATAGATTAATATAACATTTGAATAAATGAGAACTTTGACAAACTAACAAAGTAAATAAACTTTCACTTCAAAATTCAAAATAAGAACTTAATTGGGGGACAGGGGAGTAATTAATTTGGTTTATATGCAACATAAAATTAGCTTTAACAAGGTCAATAGCATGAAACCAGCTGGAAAAAAGTGTTGAAAAATAATCATGAACTACAAATTTCCAACTTCTAATGAACAGCTGAAAACTTGAGCAAAGATGTACTAAAAAAATATTCCAAAACTAGCTCTTAATATTTGGTGAAAAGCGTAGGTGATATTGTCATAAGCCAGAAAGGTTGTATATCATACAGACACTTGTCTTAGGTGGGTAAGTCAATCACCTGCAAAAACCATGTCTTTGTAAAGGATCCACTAGGACCCAACAGAGCAGAGTTTCACATGCTGCGCTTGACGTGTTAAGTGTGTTGCTATGTTCATTCAGTCCAACCATACCGATTCCTTCACTGTGAAGAACATCTAAAAGGAAGCGTCCATATACATCATTACCAGCATAACCAATTGTAGTACAGCAAAGCCCAATTCTTGATGCTGCTATCACCACATTGCTATTGCCGCCAGCTTCCCAGTATTCCTGCAACAGACCAAAAAAGTCCATGATGCTGAATTACATTCATGTAAGGGCATGTTAGGCAGAGAGAAGCTAGAGAAGCAAAACTGTATACACAGAGCAGCTGCCTGAAAGGCCAAAAAAGGGAAGCATTTATAAATATTTGAGAAAAACCTTGCGGCTACAACTATGCACTAAGCATCTCATTGGAGGAATGGTTGTGGAGGGGTTAGTGAGTTAGTCTATATGAATATACCTTGATACTTATATACATTTCATAAAAAATAAGACTAACATAATATGTGACAGTAACAAGAATTCAATCACCATTCATTGTTCTGTTTTTTTATTATTTTATTTTTGCCATGAAGAAAAAGAGCATCCGAGCCATCTAAAGTACATAAAAGAGAGGCATAACCACATACAGGTCAACATGAAACCTCAAACCATACAAGATTACATAAAGCATCCGAGCCATTCATTTGTTCTAATAAACACTGTAATTGTCAAACATAGATACTAATTCTCCAAAGCCTTTCTGTCCAACATCCTCTATCCAAACAAAACTTAAAAGAATAGAAGGGAAGCACAAAACCTGACGGTAATAATGTAGCTGACCCAACAAGATTGTGACCAAGACTCATTTGAGAGGACTGGATTTATATGAGAAAGTATTTTTAGTAATTTCCCTGTAATGGACAGAACTACTGATTTATGCCATGAACATAGAAAATTTTGCATGCCATGAAAAAATAGGTGCTTCAAAACAATTCAAAAAGATATTTGACTCTAGTATGATTGCATAAAAGCAGCAGTCTAAGAGTCATATAAAATTAACCGAAAAATCAAAAAGGAAAATACAATACAATAAGATGATAGAAGGAAATCTCGGTTCAGAATTTCAGTAAAGAACTTTGCAATTTATCCTGTGTAAGTCACATATTCCTCCTTGGAAAGTGATGATACAATTGAAGCAGTCAAGCAGAATAGCTAAAAGGACAATGGAGCGTACTAATGAAGTGTGGATAATGGAGGGGCTCATTTCACGAATCATTTCACAAAAATTTGCATCTGTCCATCTGAATTTCACGAAGCAACCTAGAAGTGACCGAAGTCATGGAGAGCCTGCGAAATCTTTGGAACATAGGGATAAAGTAAAATAACTCGCAACTGCAACTTCTGGGGGCGTATACATTTGTGAACTAATTAGCCAAAACCTCTTCTACTCTTCCTCAGCTAAACAATATAGCCATGAGATACCATGAACCAAGGAAATATTTCTTTCGCCTTTGCAAAGGAGCATTATCATGAGAAATCGCCAACATAGAAAATTTCAATTTGCATTCCAAAGCTTTTCCATACAACAAGTGAACTTCGTGTTACAATGGAATTAGAGATTGTTTGCAAGAGATTAAAAAAAGTGTTTTTCAGCTTCTGGCTTTAAAAAAAAAAGCTGAAATGAGTGTTTTTAAGTGACGGTTTCTACTTTAATTAAGCACTTAAAAGCTAAAAACCGGAAGCAGGTTGAGAAGTGCTTTAATGTGCTTTTCACTTTTTCTATTACACAAAAAATACTTACTTTATCAAACACTACCCACTTTTACTTTTTCAAAAGCACTTTTTTCTAAAACACTACTAACTTTTACTTTTAAACATTTTTTCTAAAATCACTTCAAAAATCACTTTTTAAAGTAGAAGCAATCGCAAACACTCCTTTAGAAATGGAATGGATTATTCAGCATAGAAGTAAGTCTATTATAATTTCATTGTGTGATACAGCTTGGACAAATACAGGAAGCCAAGATAGCTATATTCAAAACACATCCGAATTCAATAAAAAATACCAGAGAGACGATGGTTTCTAAGGAGAGCCCGACAAGAAATAGAGGTAAAATGAAAAGATTTCAGAGCACAAATGCACAGTAAATTCAAAGAGATACACAACCTTATCTGGAGGCGTCTTGGACAGCTCATCCATGTAAGCCTTGAGTTGGTCATGGGGTTTGGGCGGCAATTTAGGGACATTGAGCACAATATCAACACATAGGTTCCCGAACGTGGAGATATCTATATCCTTAACCCCGACTGCTCGGAGGCGGTGTTCTTCGGCGCCATTGGAAAGCGGGTGCTTTGGGTGATCTGTAATTTCAATCAGACGGCAATTGAGAATCGAACAGCGAGTCCTCCCGGGGAAGAAGGTACGAGTTACAGAAAGTCTAGGCTTTGGACCGCTGTTCCGATTTGGTAATATGCCATTAAGTAGTACTGACGCCGGTTTCCGGTATATGGCGAGATGATGCATTCAGGTGAAAAACAAGAAACCAGAATTCGCAGGCTTGAAGTACAAAGTGAAATGAAATGCTGATATGAATTAAGTTTGGAATGGTTTAATGCACAAGCTCAAATATAAATTCGGCCCATTAAACCTGTAATTTAAAAAATGAATCATTATAATTAATCATGCACAAAAACCCTTTTAAGAACAAATTGTACAATTTTGAAATCACTTTTTTTAATAATATGGTTAAGTATGCAAGTAACTTTGTCAAAAATTTTAAATTATACAAGAAAACTAATCATTTTTCATTTTTTTAGAAATTAAATTTGTTCTTGGAGGGGGTTTGCGCATGATTAGTTATAACACATGAGGGTTTGACTAATGCGCCGAATTTATATTTCAAGAAGGGGTTTGGTTCATTAAACCCAGTTTGGAATGAAGTAAAAGAATTTGTTATTTGTGTTTATTTATGAAAATATTTTTTATTAATAATATATAGAAAAAATAAATTATATCAAAATAGCAAAAGTAATTTATTACTCTAACTTCAATCGACACGTCTAGAAAAGTAACTTCAACCTTAATTTATCATATTATTACATAATTCAGCGTGCAAAATCAAAATTTATGTGTTCACTGTTTTAGTGAAAAAGTTGAATGATAAGATTGATAAATCGAAAAAGTCTAGTAAATAGGCAGGGAAAAAGTCTCTCCATTTTTTATGTTTTACAGTTTTGTTACACGTTTCTATTTTGATAAGTTTTTTGTTTAAAAATATTCAATTATCTTTATCATTATTTTTGTTTCCACTTTTTCTCCTACTTTTCAACATTACTCATTACATCTACTATTTTTTAAAAATATTGTTTTAAAACCCAATGCAGAAAACCAGTGCAGAGGAGGATGTATGAAAAAGATGAAATAATGATTTCTTTCAACACAATTTGTCAATTCATTTAAAAAAATTGTCTGAATATACATTTTCATTATTGAACCATTAAACACGTTAAATTCAAAAAGAAAGATTTAGATTAAAAGATAACCAAAAGAATGATGAGTGATGAAATAAAGGGAAAATCCCAAAATAGAAATAAGAATAATGTAAAATTTCAAAATGTGAGCTCTATGTTTTTCATAGAAGTATGTTATTGTCAATTTGTAAATTTATTCATATTTTGATGTCATCAAGCTTTAAATCTATCATTATACTGCTACCATTAGCACTATAAATGACGTAGGACGGTAATTATTTTTATTTAAGAAATGACAACACGAATTCTAAAACGTTTTTACTCAGGTTTAAGAAATTTCTTTAAAATATATCACAAGTTGGTAGTTTTTTTCCGTATGTATGTATTTACATTCCACATATGGTCGCAAATGACCCTATAACAATTCGAGCAAATGCCAGCCATTTGAGACTTTGAGAACCCACAGAACCTCTAATTCGCCATATAACAACCCTGCACTTGCAACTTCCTTCGGTCCCGTTGATGCACGTGATCTGACTCGGTACATAATCGAGCCACACAAAGCACAAACATTGGTCCGAGTCAAGTCATTGTTCCATGCTGACCTTCCTGGCCACTAATGTGTTGAGCCTCCCCATGTTTGGGCCATTGTCCCAACTGCCATATAACCAAAAGTCACATAACATACTACTGGGTAAATTATATGTGGTCTTCAAAGCTACCAAAGCTATGTATTGAATGTGTTCAAAGGAATATTCATTAAAAGAAAAGTATGCAGTTATTACATGAAAACATTATAAGAGGACAAAAGAAAACGACATCCTTTAGAATAATATGAGCAATCATGTAGAAATGTAGAATATTTCAAAAATGACACATAATGTGCGAAATAATTAAGTTTGTCTTTTCAAGTAGTACTTGTAAGGAAACAATATTGTTTAGCCGCCCTCCTTTTAAAATTACCCCCCAATACACTCTAATAAGAAAACTATTTATTTCATTATTGACTGTCACCAAGCTATGCACTACAGAGTATATAGTTTATATACATATATGATATACACGCTTACAGGTATCAAGAACAACCAGTAAAACCGGTCCTTCACGTTCCAATAATATACATCATAATTCACAACAGCGATGGAAGCCAAGTGTAGTCTACAATCGGATTGAGCATAGAATGGCAGTGCTGAAATCCAATGAATGGTGAAAGGGCAGTTTCCAAGTGGATGATCTCCAAAATTTCTTCTTTGAATCATATATTTGAGCCAATAAAGTTGCTGATCTTTTATGGTGCCTTGAATTATGCGCGGAGGCACTAGTCCCATTAATAACGGTCATCACATACAACTCGCCGTCCAAAGCAACAAATCCAACTGATCTATCATCAGTGCTTTTTTTGGGTAGACTTGTTTCCTTCAGCCACCGGTTTGGACTCCTATGGTACCTGTAAAATATTTAAGTGTTCATTCTAAATCTTGAGACACTCTTTGTATGCCCCAATGTTCATAATTGGGCTACGCCAAGGCGTCAGCAAGTTTTGGGACAAAAAACATACTAATGTGACCCCTAAAAATTAGGTAGTTGAGGCTTACGCCTTTTCCCCTGAGGCATAACCAATTTCAATTTAAGAGTATAATCAGATAGGTTGTGCCACTTACAAATATAACCCATTTGTCTTTTAATTTCTCCACCACTTCTCCTCTTTAGTTAACACTTCCTTCTGCAAGTCTTTTACAACTTCTCATTCTCTTTTCTCTACTTCACTCTAGCAAGGTACTTTTTTATTTTTACACTTACTCCCTTAACAACGTGTTATATTTTGTTTGATGTTAGTATGATATTGCAGATAAGGTGAATTACTGAATTATCTTCTCTTCTACAAGGTGTTTTTTCAAGCAATATTTTCCTTATCCATTTAATGGTGGATGTAGATGTTGATGGTGATATGGATGGTAATGATAGCGGTGTTGTTGATGACCTTATTTTTCATTCTTCAATCCAAAAAACTTTGAACATTAACCATCTGCGTGAAGAGGCCAAATTGAACAAGTTGGATCACTTATGATATGAAAAATAAGGGGTCGATCAGAGCCCCTCTAATAGGCTTCAGTTTCAACTGATCTGCAAGCTGTTTCACCCATCACTAACGTATTATAGAGAGATAGTTAAATCTACCTTTACTTGTATAAAATATTTTACTTCTTTTAGTTCAGTATAGATTTAAATAATTCAGTAGATTCAGCCACAAGTTCACAACTTTTATAAAAATCAACATTTTAAAGCAGCAATCCAACAAGCCAACTAAAAAAGGTACTTTTAAGTTTATAGCTTAAAGAAATAAGAGCAGTGTTTTTAAATTGGTACTTTGGTTTAACTTAAACTGCTTTAAAGTGAAACGCTATAAGCACCAAATCTTACGTTTTCACCAAACATCTAAACTTCTACTTTTAAAAAACACATAGTAATTAGTAACTAATACTTTTAAACCCTACCAACTTTGTACAATTAAGCACTTTCTCAATAATCTCTAAAGTAAAACACTCATCTCAAATACATCCTTACAACACGGCAAACGCAGGCTCCTAATCACCTCATGAGTCATGATTAATGACATTTAAGGCCTAATACAGATTACAGAGGAATAAATTGCAGATACAACATGAACCCTTTGTATAGATGTACTGATACTTATAAAAACGTAGGCAACAGATTAACAAGAACCCTTTGTCAGGAAAACTGTAAAAATTTACCTGAAAATATTACTTCTCTCCAGCATAAAAACAGCAGGGGCATCACTGTCATCAACAACAGCCACAATCTTCCCAAGCCTCCTCCTCTCTCCTTCTTCCCACATATCCCCAATTTCTTTCCACTTCCCACTACCATTCTGCAACTCCATCACGAGAACATCCTTGTAGTATTGATCCACGGGAAGGATATTTGAGATCGTTCTTGAATTTCCATATCCACCCATTACCCAGAACTCTCTATGCTCCTCTCCATGGCCCACAAAGAATCCGACACATCCTGCACGGAACCCTGGCAATCCGTCCAACGGGACCCACTCATCCTTTCCAATATCATACATCTCCACAGAGCTCACAATACTTCCAGCAGCCCCAAACACAGTGTGTCGAGAACCGCCACCCGCAACAAGAATCTTATTGGAATTTGGGATGGCAGCACAAGCAAAGCTACCCCTGGGTGTGATCATGGGGGAGAGTGATTCCCAGGTCGAAGAGGCAAAGTCAAACCGAAATGCAGAAGAGGATGGGGATGGGGTGTCGAGGGGAAAAGAACGGGTATCAAAAAGAGAACCGCCGAGTAAATACAAGTGGGGCCCGACCGCTATTGATGTAAAATTGCAGAGACCATAGCCATGGGGGTTGCATGGCAAGGGCGGCAGTAAGGACCAGGCGAGATTTTGGGGATCAAATAGACATGGAGAGGTGATCGAAGGATCTTCCGGGAATATACAGAGTAGATGGGAGAGTCTAGGGGGTGAAAGAAGCTTGTTGCGTAGAGAGATTATGGTTTTTGATGAGAAAAGTAGTCTCCAGGATTTACATACGGATTTCAATCGCGATTGATGAGAGTAAGGGACGAATAATAAAATCAAGGCCGCTAAATCGTTAGGAAGGCCCGGAATAAAGATTAGGGTTAGGGTTCGGAGTCGCGATTGCTGTCTGGAGACCATCGAATATGGAGGAGCCATATATGACAGCTAGCGAGGTTCAGAGTAAAACAAACTGTACAATTTTGCTATGATCTTGCAGAAATGAACCACGGGATTAGGTCTGGAATTTGAATTAAGGGGTGATAGGAGACAATTCTTCTTCCATTCATCTATGCATATATCAATTTATTACATGTAAAGCGAGTAATACATACAAATCTCCATGACTGCACTTCCCCGGTTTACGGGCACCGTTCAATGGCGGCGCCAGGAATTCAACTGTGTTAAACAGCATCGCTGCTGAAAGAAAACCACTTCTCGCCTTTCTTTATCATTATTATGGCCAGACTCGTACTTTTCGCTTTTCGTTGCAAAAATGTCCCTCAGCAAATGTTTACTCTCAATTATTTGTTGGGAAAGTTCCTGAAATGTGACT